ACCCACGTGTCAGGAATGATAGAAGTATTGCCTTCCCTAGTAAGGATTACTGGTGAGTATTCTGGGGAAGAATCCTATTTTGAGTATCTAACCACATTTGCTGAAACAGGTCTCAGCTGTAAATTGGAACGCTTTCAAACTTTTTTATTTCACTGTGCTCAGGCTATGAGGTGTCTCTCTTTTTCTAGGGCTTGTTCAAAGAGCCTTCAAATTGATTGACTAGGCTGCTGTGAGTCTGTTCTTTTCCTGTAGAGCTTTAGGATATACATAGGAGAGAGGCTGCTTGGCAAGAAGGGAACATTTAGAAATTACTTGCAGCAGTGAAAAGTACTTCATCCTTTTATTTCCTTTTTCCCTCAGTTTTTCAGGGTTTTTTTTGTTTTTTTTGTTTTTTTTTACCTGGAGGAGAAGGGTGGTGTGTTCTTTCTTCTCTGCAGCATAAACTGTAATGAGCCAAATCTTTCTTGTTGCAACAACCAACCATGGAGCTGCTCCTTAACGTTTTTCACAGATCGCTTAGTGTGGAGGAGAGCAACTGTGTTAGAAAAGGGGTCACCTCCTGCCTGCATCAGGTGTTTCTGTTCAGCCCGGTGAATCGCCCCGAGTCCGTGGGACTGTACCTGTCGCCGTGGGGCTGAATAAGGTTTGCACCACGCAGTCATGGCTTGGGAGTGTGGGGATGTTTTTAGGAGGCAAAATTCACTATTCCTGGTCTTTGGACAAGGTATTGACTCATCTGCCAGCAGGTTGTATGACAAGGCTTTCTGAAGGAAACATAACTATGTTTTCTGTTCTTTATAACAGTTCATTTTGTAAAAGCAACCCGTAAATATAAGGGAAATTATAAATAATAAATCGTAAAAAGAGAGGCTGTTGGTCACAGTGACTGTACAGTTAAATATGATGGAGACAGCGATTTTCAAATAGTTTTTGAAGTTTTTATCACAAAGGCATTATTTTTAGTTCATATGAATTGCTATTATTGAAGTGAGATTGTATCTAACTTTAAAACTCGTCTATGATTGACTACATTTCTTTAAAAAAAATTGGGATGTTCTAAATACTTCAGAATTTTTATGCATCTACTTGCTTTTTCTTCACTTGTTTCTTGTACATAGATACTATGAAAATGGGTACCTTAAAAATAGATAGATAGTGCAAGTAGGTAAGAAACTAAGCTGTCCAGGTAATTAGGTATATCTTACAGTCTTTGTCAGTCTAAATATGTTGTTCACTCCTGACTGCTCTTTCAGCTGCACGTTTACAAATCCTGTCAGCTGATTGCTATTCCAGAACACCTGAAAATCTTCAGATGTTTCCATAGTTAATGGGCCAATAAAGTCCTGGTGGGCCCCAGATGCAGGAAAGAGAGCAGATGACCTCCTAAGCACCCTCCCTGCCCAAAACTTTATGATCCTGTGATGTCACTAATGTATCCCCCCCCAGACCAGTTCCCTCTCTGAAAGCCACCCCTCTCCCTGGAGCAGCTGAGGTGGCATCGTGTTCTCGGCTGTGACAGCCTTCTCTCGGCCGTCAGTGTGTGTCCACAGCGAGTACACACAAAACCTTAAAATGTAAAGCGTACGCTTCCAGTTTGTCTCCGGTAGCCATTTTATGGGAGGACAGTCGTTCTCCTTAAAAATGCTCTGGGACGGTTCACAGGCAGATATTACTTTTGCCTCTTTTCCCCCGAGAGAGCAGCGAGCTCCTGGCAGAGGCGGCCGTCACGCGTGCCGGTGCTACGGTATACGCAGCTGATAGAACAGCATCATCTGTGCTGCCAGTCGCTCTTTGTAAGTGATACACAGTGTGTTGTTACCTGCTGTTACACTACAAAAGGAGTTTCATCTCGTTTGTGCACTAGTATTTTAGCAAGAGAATTTGATATCAGGTTTGGGGTGGCTCTGTGGCCTGGGAGGCTCGGCAGAGCGGTCCGTGTCTGGACGTATTGAAAACATAGCGGATACTTTTTTAAAAAGTACAGATAGAGAGGTGGAGTTCATATTGCTGGAAATAATTTGATGCCCCGATTTTCTCTGCTGCTGCAAGCTGGGATGGGAAAGGTGATGGCCACTCACACAGGAGGAGGGCAGCTCTGTGTTACGGAGCTGCAGCATCCTGGTCTTGGTGGCTCTGGTATGGTTTAGATGCACTCACGGCTTGCCTGGAATTAGGGTCGGGGACATGTGTTGCCCTGAAATTTAATGTTCCTTCAATCTTGTTAGGAAGAAAAAAAAAAAGTTCCATGAATAAGTTATTGCAAAACCAGGTTGACCCATTCAAGCATGCAGATGTTTTATTTAAATATTCCTCAAATGTCTATTTATTCAGCATAACGCATGTATTATGCTGCCTCGTGAAATACGATATATGACTGTCAAACAAAATTGTCAAAACAACAACCCCGGTTTTTTTGTATGATACACAGAAATAATTACATTTCATGTACAGTACAGATGCATTTTACACAGTCATCAACAGTCATTCACTACCAAAACAGCATTTAAATCACCTAAAACACCAAAAGAATGTGTATTTCCCAAATTCAGAATAAATTAATGATTTTGCATGTGTCATATGGAAATAGGAGACAGGACTGGAATTCTGCAAAATCATACTAAATTATTCCTTAAGCTGCATTTTAAAAATGAAAGTACAAGTTGCTTCAGGGGTGTAACTGTTACGCAAATGTATTGCTGTAGTGCGTTCTTTTTAGTCCATATGAAAAGAGAATAAAGAGATTTTAAAAGACTCATGACCTGATGGAGTCAGTAGATTGTATGTAGTCTGTCCCAAAGTGGGCTTAGTAACTGCCTTTTTGCATTATTTACCCGATATAACTAGTCAAGAAGTACCATGTGGCATAAAGAAGTTGTTGTTGCAGACTGCTAATATCAAGGCAGTTTTTATGTCAGTAACTGTTTGCCAAAAGGTGGGACCAAGCCATTTTTTGTATGAGTAACCATGGGTAGAAGCAGGATGCAAGTAAAAACTCTGGGGCCATTCTGCTTCTCTTTTCAACCCCATTAAAACTTAGGTAACCCACCAGCTTCAGCAGATCTACTGCAATTTTCCTCCGGGGTGAAAGAGAGGAGAGCAGCGTCTGGCAATCGACCTCGGCAGAGTTCCTCAGAGGGAGCGCTCCTCGGGGTCGGAGGACAGCCTGTGCTTCTGCTCTCTGTTAAGGTTTGACAGAAATGTAGCAGCTCAGTTTACAATGACTAAGTTATTCTGATTTGCAGAAAAAGTGGGAAGTTAATTGCAAATTAACCAAGCTTCCGAATAAGTAAATGATAAAAGAGTAATGCGTGACATTATGTACTCCTTTTAACTGCAATTTAATTCTGATATGTGATATGGTTGTATTTTGGTGTATATACTGTAGCACGATAGTCCATCATCTACACTTCAATCTCTGTTGACAGGTAGAGAGAAAGACCAGTATTTGTGTGCTGTAAAAAGTGTATCATCAGCAAGTTTCTGTTTCAATGGGTATTTTCTTTTAATGTAAATTTTCAGGTCAGTAGAATGCTAGCAAATACTGTACTGAAACATACACTACTCAAACTATTAAATAACTGTGTTAATCATTTATCGTAATGGCATCTAATGCACTGAGGCTTTTGATTTATATGCATATTTTATTTTGCAGACATGCGATTATTTCTGATCCAGTGTTTTTGATGTATATATGTACGTATTGATATGCACATATTCGGTGTATATTTGATGTATATGATGTATGGTATATCATGTATATAGGAAGCATTATGATACATCTCCTAATGCACTCTCATGAAGAAAAATGACACCCTTTTATCAGAAAGGTTTCTGGTAACATCAATGTCTTTTTAAAAAGTAGCCAAAAATCCTTAACTAGAAGAGCCTTCGTATTAGCTTTTAGGCCTGCCCATGTGGGTAAATTCCAATTGAAATAAATTTTATTTTTATAGCTTTGGAACCCAATCCATTATTCTATCAGTGTTCTTAGGTAATTAAATATCTTCACACAATATAAATTCTCAAACAAATTTTAGGATGCAAGTTTACACATAATTACAAAAAGAATTTAGACATCTTTTTTACTGAATATCTTTCGGTGTCTTCCAGCATAGCCAATACTCTGGATGCTGCAGAATGTCAACAAGGAAGGTTTGGAAATAAGTGTTAGCTGATGCCAAAAGCAACTTTGTGGTAGTTTTAATTCAAATAGGATTGATCCTGCAAGAGTACACTGGGCTGAGAGGTTTGTTCTGAAAATACAGAAGTAGACAAGGTGTCTACGGAAGAAAGGACTGTGTTGATTCATCAGTAGCCTTGAAATCCCAAACAGTACGGTAATGTTGGAGTGGACAACAAACTGTCATAGAAATAGAGGACAGTGGACAAAAAGAACAATGACTGAATAGTGCATTCATGGTGCACGGTTTGGCTGTAAGATTATTTAAATGCTTTCCATTAGAAGTTTATAGTGTAGATGAAGTTGTGTAAAATACCTTAAAAAAAAGAAATCCTGATTCCTGATACAACAGGTGTACAATGACTTATTGCAGTTGTAACAGTACCTAGGAAGCAAGATAAAACAATAGTAAATATTGAACCTAACTGAACACCTTTAGTTCACTAATGAGTGTTTGAATAAGAAATACTGCATTTTTCAAAGGGAAGTTATTTGTACAACTACCATGGAACATTAACAATCAGCTTGTTGTAAGTGCACGGAAATGCCCCTTTCTACAGTAATATTTTATCATGCCTAATCTGAAAAACAACAAAAGTAAACTGAGATCACAGCTCCAAATAATTTCAGCATGCATTATGGTTGTAGTTCTTTCAGTCAGTACAAACATATTTCATATGAGCATTTTTTTCTTTCATTTTTTGATAGTTTCTCAACAAGTTTGTGGTTTATTAACAGGGAAAAAAAAGACACGTTATCAAAATGTTTCTCGTTTTTTGCAGGAACACAGGTTTGTTTCTATTTTTTGTTTTGCGGGGGTTTTGTTTTTTTTTTTTCTAAAAAGAGCTCTCATGATAAGAAGAAGCATCAATGGGGACATTTCATTGTGCTCATATAGTAAGTCAGGATGGTCACAGAAGATTCCACTGCGCGTCAGTTCGGACAAGGGGTAAGAAACTCCTTTTGGTTCACACGCTACGACACCGAAACCCACAAAGTGTTTTGTTTCTCCTGAACCTCTCGGTCTGCGGCCGCTGGCGCACACGTCAAGGGGCGTTGTCATCGTCAGCTCTCTCACTCCTCGCGACTCATTTCTCACTGCTCGAGCTCAGTTGGCAAGTGGTCTTTACGCTAATTTATAAATAATTCCTTATTTTATAAAGCAGATACTCTGACAATGTTTCCTCCCGAATACTCGGGAGACTCTGGCCTATCATCTCCTTCGGGTGTGGTGACTGGAGGTGTCGGGATGCTAATTATTGCTGTAGTGACGTAAGGCTGCTCACAGTTTAGTTTAACGCACTCTTCCACTTTGGCATTTAAGCTGGAACGGCTGGAGGAAGAAACAAAAATCCATGGAGGAAGAAAGTCCACGTTACTGCAAGCCTCTGGTGTGCCCGATTCCGCTCGCTCAGCCGGCCGACTCCGTCCCGCCCCGTTAGCAAGCTCAGAGGCGCAACGCGGCACCACCCCACCACCCTGCACCCCGGCAGCGGCTGGTCCATGGCTGTGTCCATGGACAGGCCCCCTTTCTCCCTTCCTTCCCACCCGTTTCAGCACTTCTAAAAGTTTCTGGGCTCATCCCTAAGTGTTTCTGAGCAGGGGATGCGTTCGAGCTGCTCCCTGGGGAGCAAACTTCGCATAGCCAAATGACTTGCTATGCAGGAAAGTGGAAACCAAGGGGTAGTCCCAGCCTCCTACCAATTCCTCCATGCCGTGCTTATTTAATAACATTTCGTATATTATGTATCCTCAAGAGTAACACACGGTGATAAATGCGCTAATAAAGGTCACGGAGTTGCTGCAGTACCTCAGCATCATAAGAAACTTGTAAAACTCAGTCTGTTTTGAGGTGAGACTGGCATTTTGTGCTTGTGGTTTTAGCTTGGTATTTTTCAGCACAAAGCTGGTGCTTTGGTTTTTTACATACTGGAAGTATGGTGCAGGAAAGACCTCTGGCAGAGAAAGGATGGATCCAGGCAGAATATTTCCTGAAAAGCTAAGAGAGATTGGAGCTTCGTGCTCGCCGGGAGGTCTCATTGCACAACAGCTGAAAAACTTCAGTAGCTACAAGCTGCTGGACTGTTCATGGAAGTGAAATCCAAACCTAGTAACTATACAAAGCAAGCTACTCAAAATGTAACTTAACAAGACAATTTCTACAGCAACTAGTGCTGAAAATGCTTCTTTTTTAAATGGCGGCATGTTTGAGTTCAATAGAAAACACTTCTGAGTCTCCCGAGACCTTTGCAGTGTTTTCAGAGGTGGTGTTTGGATATACCTGAAAGCCAAATGGTTTACTTGTGAGAGTACAGAGACGTTCAGTAAATTATAGACTCTTAAACTGCACTTTCCTCACTTTTGTAATAACTCCTCAAACTAGGAAATAGATCTTTCTTATCCATTTCATATTTTTTACTTAGAAGAGTCTTTCTTATGACTATTACACTTAGGACTCTGGGAATCAGTTTTATTTCTCTGCTGTGTGGAAATGCGGGGAAGTCTCATTTGTCCTGTGCTTCTGAACCAAACCAGTGTAAACAGCAGGGACAGACCTTTCTTTGTCTCCCACTTGCTCATCTCGTATATCTGAATTGCACATTTTTCTATGCTAATTTTTTCTTATTTTATGTTTGTCCATGGCATAGGATATTTGGTGCTCTGTTTAATTTGGGGTCCCTGGATACTATTTGCTGCAAATAGTACACAGTAGTTTGTGGGGAGGGCACGAGAGGGCAGAAATGGATGTAGAGAGACTATTCTGTTGTCTTGGATTAAGCTTGGAGCAAACTAAGTGCAGGATGTTTCTGTACCAGTCTCTATTTTTGGATGACTATTTGACTTTGATCTTTAGCCTCACAGCCTACCTGCAGAGGCCACACCGCCTCTACATCTCTTCTCTAACGAAGAAAGGGGCTTCAGCTCTCGGTGCGCTGGTGCATGTCATGTACCTGTTAGACAGAGGCGTCCTCTCCACACATCTGATCTGGATGGTGCTGAGCTCTTGTACGCTGCCTGGACGGCTGCCAGTGATGGTGGTGTTTGGGATGCGGTAAGTCTTTTTATGTCTTCGTGAGCAGCAAGTGCTGGTAACGCCTTGTTGAGACGAGAGAGAGGGGCTGTGGCTGGGGGGTCTATTGACTGTGGAAACCTCCATACAGCTCTCTTCATAGACTTGCTCATCCACAAACTCGTGATTCTAGCCCAGAGGAATCCAGCAAAGGGACAAAGCACAGACAGAAAGATAATTAAAGTGAACATATTAATCATGATTGTTTACAGGCTTAAATTGACACAACTGAATAAACTGGGAAAGTTAGACAGCTTATGCTCGATGATGGTGTTTAGCCCATATTAGCCTGGGCTGAATACCAATACAAATGTAAACGCTAAAACAAAACGCTCAGAGCTCTAAATAAGAAAAAGTTAATCCAAATTATTTTCTAAAATAGCACATGGTTGTAATGTAGTTTGCATTATAAATATCTGTATAATCTATGAAGTGCCACAAAATAAGGGATTATGTTTATTAATAAAAATGCAAGTGGTGCTTATGTAAATGCTTTCATTGCCATTTGGAAACAAATAAGACTTATTGTATTGAACTATAATAAAATAAAAATCATAAATATTTTCCAGATGAGTTTATAAAGCTTCCTGTTGAATTACATGTTAGAAATCAGCATGTGAAATAGTGTGTTTCGAGGTATGCATCTATGTAAAAGAAAAAGATTCAATTAAATAGAAGTTTTGATTAGAGGAGATGAGACAGTTATTTAAAAGCACCCAAAAAGTTCCTAATTACTGTAGATGGATGCATTGAAAGCAGTTTAGAAGACTGAGCGTTTAGTTAAAAGAAGTGGTCTTTATTCATGCAATCTTTGTTTAATCCCAGCATAGACAGTAGTCTTATAGGGTTGTCATAGCGCTGAATCCAAATCCAAGCAAACTTGACTCAGTAGGTGATTAGGGAGCATTGCACACACAGCCGTGATTTCCACATTATC